TCAAAATAACCTATAAAAAGTAATAATTTTTGTAATAGTATGACTATGAGAGATTAATTGTTGAATGATTGTTTTGCAATCGAAACTTCTAATCAACCCAATTTCTTTGCTTAAAATAAGGTTAGAATAATTTTATGAAAATGTATAATACTAAAACCCAGCCTATTTATTTTCATGTAATGAATGAGAAAATTGTAATTATATATAATAAAATAGAACGATGTACAATTAATTGATATATAATAAGACATATGACCAAAAATGTTCTATACTTAATTTTATGTATTCTTTAACAAATATAAAAGTTATATATATATATATATGTATATATATATATGTATACACATATATAAAGATATAAAATAACAATATAAAGGAAAAAAAATATTAAATTTGACAAATAATATTAAAAATCCGTTTAAGTTGTAACACTTATTACTAAATATTAAAAAGTAACAATAAATGTTATAGTTAATAAAAACAAAGATAAAACTTTTAAAACTTGTACTTATCGATGTAAACGAGTTGAGTCACTATTAGAGGAATTAAGAGAGCTAATATTGGTTTTTTGGTGGATTCAATTTGTTAACGCAATTTAGGTGTTATTAAAAGCTTGTTAATTTTTTGTTTTTATTAATTCTAAGTGTAAGTTTTAGGTGATAGACAATAGTTATTTGTACTTTTATCCATCATTATCTTCAAATTAATTAAAAAAATAGTGAATCATGACATGCCTTACCAAGAATTTATATCGATATAGTACCATTACTCACCTATCTATTAATATGTATTATTACAATAAATCAACTTTATTAAAAAATGTACAAAATATCTTTTTTTAATATTTGATAATAATATTAATTAGAAAATTGTAATTATACATAATACAATATAAAAGATGTACAACTATAATATATATAATAAGACATATGACCAAAAAAAGTTATATACTTAGTATTATGCATTTTTTTTAACAAACTTAAAAGTTATATATATATATATGTGTGTGTGTGTGTGTGTGTGAAAGAACAATATAAAGTAAGAAAATATTAAATCTGATACATAATATTAAAAATATAATTAAGTTGTAATACTTACTAATACATATGTATAAAAGTAATAACTAAAAATGTTATAATTAATAAATATAAATATAAAACTTTTAAAACTTGTACATATCGACGTAAACGAACACGATTGTTACTTTTTTTGTGCTTATTAATTATATGTGTCAGTTTTAGGTTATTGACAATAGTTATCTGTACTTTAATCTATATAGGTTAGAGCTTTTAATTTTTTAAAAAATAAATTGATTATTGTAAATTTAAATAATTTTTTATTTGTTATTAGCTTTTTAAATATAATATATAAATATTATATTGCATATAAAAATAATACTCATTTCCATTAATATGTAGGGAAAGTAATTCAATTGAGAAATTAAAAGGTAATCTCAACATAAAATAACGAGTGACTTGTAAGAAAATTATATGAACTAAAAAGCAGATGTTTTAATATATTTTAACAGAAAAATTATGAACACATTTAATAAATAAAAATATTAGTACATAAACATTTTAATGATTATGAAAGAATACAAAATTCCATATTATAATGAAAAATCCAACAGTAAGGTATTCCACAGAAAATACCAACAGATATTTCATTGGTATAGCTTTTATTGAAAAGATTCACTGGCTATTCCAATGGTGAATAAATTAAAATACATTGAAATTTTTGTGGATTTAATATCTCAATTACTAATATTTATTTTTGTGTGAATTTACGTTGGATTTTTTTTTTCGCCCATATTTCAACCATTAAAAGAATTGTCACTGAAATTGGGAAAAACAATGAAAGTTCCATTGAAAAACTAGCTGCAGTGGCGAATCCAAAATAATTTCATGTTTAAGAGCACTATCTAATTAATACAAAAATTATTGCATCAAAACAACATAATGTCATTACAATTTATAAAGTATACTTTTCATAATTTGTCAACTTTCTCATATGTATTACTTTTTTTAACACATCAATACAATCACAATAAGTTCAATAATATAAAAAAAAAAGCATATTTTTTCAAAATTCGACATAAGAAAATCATAAAAAAATAATACATTTTTCAAAATCTTTTTCTGAACAATAATTTTATGTTGTAGTATAGTTGACTCGACAATATAATAGATGATTGTATAAATTACTAATATATAACTAGAATTCTACAGACACTTAAAAAAGACTTAAAATATATTTTCTAAAATTAAAAAAAAAAAAATTATGTCGCAAAAGAGAGATAATAAGATACCATCAAGAATAAGAATAGAAGGAAAAGAGAGAAATAGAGCGTAAAATTGTAAACTTTGATATCATATTTTCTTTAGTTGGGATACCGCATTGATGTTATAATTTTAATAACGTTATGAGTTGAATTAAATTATAATTGGTTGAGTTGTAAATTAATCATTATTTGTCTTTATTCTTTTAATTTTATTTTCTAAATAGAGGACATGATTAAAATTATGAAAAATGTTCCCATAATGTTTGTTAGATATCTTATGCTATTTGTTTTGGGATGATGCCAGTTTCGGGACGATTGGACAAACATGGATCTGCACATGATTGCAAATAAAAATAATATAATTATTTATAATCGATGTAAAATAATATATATATATATATATATATCAATACCAATTTATAATAATAAATAGACCTAAAAGAATCTTATAAAATAATTATAGATCCATGTTAAACTAATTTTATTAATTATAAAATAATATTAGATAAACTTGTGGTATATTTTTCTGACATAGATTTGAAATATTCATACTAAGGAAAAAGTCAACTAGATGTAATTGTACAACTATTACCAATATTAAATATGTGAATTAAAAGAAAAAAAAAATCGGTTGTATGTTAAACTATTATTCAATTATTGCTTGAAAGGGAACACCATAATGGTTGTAAAATGTATTTTTTGTGAATATAAACATAATTAGTTACTTAATATTTTATCAGAACATGGAAATAAATTCAAAATTTTTTAATATTATAAACAATATAAAACTACATTTTTATCAAGTATATTATTACTATCAAACACGTAAAAAGAACGCATTGTATATAAATGTTCTCTAATTCTTTCAAGAAATAAAATATTATCTGTGAATAAAATAAAAAAAAAAAACAAGTAAACCTATAGTAATGCAATGAGGAAAAGAAAAATTCTGATTTTTTTTAGAAAAGTATGAATGTTAATATCAAGAAACAAAATCTTTTAAAATTACTACTTTTTTAGTTGCTAGCATTTAAGTATATGTTCTCTATAAGAAATTAGTTCTCATAAATAATGATTCGATATTATCATAAGATAGACTACAAACTTTAATAATGACTTCATAATAATAAAGTTAACAGATGACTAAGAGTATCATAATATAATATAATTCAAATTCTTCTCATCTGAAATATTTTGAAAAATACTTCTCAATATTGTCTCATTGTTTTGTTTTGTTTTGTTATTATTGAAGAATCAATAAAGGATCTTTATCTTGAATTTTTTAAGCATTAGTTATGATACAAAAGATTGGACAATTAATAAATGCAATAAATGTTATTAGACACATAAATATTGCAAATCCGAAAGAATATGGACGGTATTTATCTTTCAAATTAATAACACTGAAAAGAGAATGTTTGATACTGATTAAAATATTTTTGAATGTTGAATAAGTTGTCACTTTTTGATAAGAATATTTACAATCATAACTGTGTATTGTGCTCGATCATACACGCAATTGTGTTAGAGTACATATTTTTATGTAATGTGATGATTTCAAAAAAATAATTTAGCATCTTCAGAGAAGTACCTGATTTTGGAAAATTAAATTTTATTTAGAGATGAAATTCGTTCTCACCTCATGGGGTAAGTACCAATTTGTCTATGTGGAGAGAGAGAGAGAGAGAGAGAGATAGAGAGAGATAGAGAGAAATGTAGTAGTTTATACAGTGATTAAAAGAAATATCAAGAATTTTAATGACACAATATCAAGAAATTTAATGCTACAATTGTTTATTTCACAGAGATACTTATGAACTATTAACTATTAGTAGAAATACCTTATAATGATCATACAATCATAAAGTTTGGCTATATGTTTGGCTAAAGTATTTCTAAGCGTTGAATAAAACAGACGTTTTGCCAAATTAATTAAGAAGACTTTTGCAATACTATTGATCTATTAGAATTCAACGAGTATGAATGTTTCTTATGAGAACATCAAAACCAAAATAAAAGAAAATGACTCTTGAATCTAACATAAATAAATAAAATAACTCATGCATCTATGATATACATTATGTCTTTATTTAGTCATTTATTATTTTTTCATTAGGAACTCATTTTTTATATATTTTTGTTGGAGTTGTAATATGATATTTTAAATCTTTTTATATTATGACATTATTTTTTTATTTAAAATAAAATGCATGAAAAGTTTATTTATTCTACATTTTATTTTGTTTCTGCAGTCATATGTGTAATAAATTAATTAATTGATCTTACTAAATTTAATCGGTAAAAAATATTCGTCGCCACGTGCATCGCACGTGCACTTTACTAGTATAATAAAAGTTCTGACTATATTTATATAAAACACTAAATTAAAAAATATAAACGTGCAAAAAAAAAAAAAGAATGAATTGCCTTTTTGGTGGGAAGTTCTCCTAATATTTTTAGGTATGACAATGATATGATCCAAAAACTAAAACACCCTTTTGCATTAAACAACAAATATAATAACTTAAAACAATAAACTGCATGAAACTTCTTGACGATATGGAATGATAAGATAGAGCCTAAACCCATAAAGTTCTTAAAACATAACACACGAGTTTCTCTTCTTCCTAATAAATGACCAAACCAGAAAAGAAAACATAAAAAGATTACAAACTTGCAATTAATAAGATAAACACAAGAAAATCAGGATCATTTGATACTAATTAGGATTATTGTTCCCCACATCAGGAGCTCCACTTTCAGCACGGCCTGTAGATGGCTCACCAGCCACCCTAGAAGATGCTTGTATAGTTGTAGCTGACGGGCCTTGTCCCTGCACAGGAAAATAGGTAAATGGGAAAGAAAAGAGATTTGCGGGATGTGGCACATTCAGATGAGGATAGTTTTGGAAATGAGAAGACGATCCTTGGTTGGTTTGCGGGGGAAAATGTGAGAAAAGGCTTGCAAATGGATGATGACCTCCAATTGACATGTTTATATTTGGAGGATAATAGTTGAATTGAGTTATAAATGGAGGAAATGGACTAGGGCCAGTTGGCGTTGAGCCCGAGCCTCCATTTTCCAACTCATTAATACGGATTTTTATTTTTGAAATCATATCTTTTAACCACTTCTTCTCATCAGTTTGCACTCTCTCGACCTCGACTTGTTCCCACCACACTTTCTCTCGTGTTTGATTCATCTCGTTTTGCCGTTTTTCCGCTTCGTTTATGTCATCCTTTTGGCCCAACACCTCATCTAACTGCCTGTTGAGAACTCCAATTCTTTCGTGCATTATGTTGTCTGAATCCCTCACTGCATTATTTTGCAACGGGTTTCTGTATCTCGCGATTACGGAGTCCATAGATGGATGCCATAGTGAAAAAGGGTTGTTGGTTGGGGAGAAGATTATTATTCCCAAATCGACCCCGCACAATGTGCTTAGCTCGCAAGCTTTTTTGAATAAACCACGACGTCGTTTTGAAAACGTCGCGTATAAGTCGTCCTGGTTTTCGATAAGCCTCATGGGTATCCTTTGCCGGCCTCTTGTTTGCCTGCCACTGCCAGTGCCAGCCATGATGTGATTATTTTGATGAATTTTAATTACATGAAAATAATATAACAAGATAATGAATGGTGTGGGAAGTGTAGTTGTGATTGCTAAGGGGATTTATAGTAGCAAAATGTTTGCTCTGGTCAAATATTCAGGTGATATGATTCCTTCTGATTCATTTTTTTTTGGAATTTCAATTTGTTTTACTATTTATTTAGCATATGAAAGGAAGAGGTCAAATATAAATTTCTTCAAATGGTACACCAATTTATGGGAATTTCAATTAGACATCCACAGTATATACTTGGTGTCGGAAGACTTTTTAAGACCTTTAAACGGTTTACATGCACCATTCGAATCAAATATAGAACTATATGTTTGACCGTTCATTTCAAATGCCAAAAATAGCAAACCAAATTGAAATCCCAAATATGTACAAAATGCATATTATGAAAATCTTGTACAACTCCAGTCATATGCTCAACCTGTACTTCAAGAAAAATGATTATCAGATTCCGTTGGGATTTGTAACCGTTAGATCAACTATCATTGACGGTTACTTGATGATCTAACAGTTACAATCCCAACGAAATGGTTCCGTAACTGGATTGTAGCATTTTCCTTTGTTCAAAAGCAAAAGACTAAAGGAAAACCATTAATTGTGTGTTACAATATTGAAGCCACAAGCTAATGCAAATTCAGCCAAACGGTTCATGGGTGGAGCAAAAGCTTAATTATCAATTAATCTTGCATGATTTTTCTGGAAAAATACATCCATCCTAATCTAGAATATCATATCAATAGAACCAGGCAAACTGTAAACATTTTGGAAGCAACCCTACATATTCCCCATCAGGCTGAACAAAAATACTATTACCAACATAAACCTCCTAAACCTCGATTACACCAACAAAGTTACGATACAGAGCTGTGAACCATCTTCCTCAACTCAAGTTTAGCAAATCAGGAACCAACAAATAAACCAACTATGATATATGTAATATTTTACGCCATGCAAGCTTTCACCACATCTTAACTTATAATGGAAGATATGTTATTCACTGACAAGTGTGTACCATTGTGCAGCTGATGCAGAACACACAGTCATACTATTTGAAGTCTTGAAGAACAACCACCAGAAAACAAAGCAATTGAAGTGAAATTCCGTGGTATTATTTTCTGATGGGGGAGGAGAACATCAATTGAAAAAGTTTTCGTTCTAACATTGACGCAATTTCTGGTAACCAAGAACCACATCATGATGCAACATATAATTTTCCAATCCCAGAAAGTAACAGAAATAGCTCACCTGCCAACTTATCACCAGAATATGTTTCATCTCATGCTACAATGCCGCTCTTTGTTGATTTGCCTATAACTCCTGATGAAACTACTTCACATAATCACATAAACACCAACTTACATCCTATGATCACAAGATCAAAAATAGGAAACCAAAGATCTAAAGAATTTTCTTCATCTCTAAACCTTGAGCCCAAAAATGTTCAAGAAGCAATGCATAGTGATGTGTGGAGAAATGCAATGAAAACAAGATATGATCCCCTCATTAGAAATCAAACAGGGTCTCTAGTAAAGGCAAGAATATTATTAGATGTAAGTGGGTTTTCAAAGCAAAGAAAAATTTAAATGAGAGTATAGTGNTGAGTCAAGCCATTTTTTAGGCTCTTAATTGGGTTTTCCCGGTTCATTTTGTCCGTTTTAGTATTTTTAGCTTTTGTGTCGTGATTGTGTATTTTTTGTTTTCATATAGTATATATATGCCCCCAGCTAATTTCTACCAGAAATTTGTTCTTCAATCAATTAATGCTTCTGGATGATCTAGTTGACAAAGGCCTGCCAACTAAAATATCCAATAATCGCTAGCGTTAAATAACTATAAAAACATAACAACAAAGGCATATATAATCATATAGCCTTCATTAATTGTGTTCTTGAAGCTATTAGCAAGATAACAAGTTTCTTCCAGGATTGAACATATGTTTGACAATATTGTTGCTAGCTCGTGTGTGCAAAGAGTTGTTTTGTTTTTTTCTATTTTTCGCTGCCAATTTGTAATTGTCTGTATCTAAGTTCACATCAGTACTGTTTGAGTGTAATTAATGTAGCATATACATTACAAGTTCGAAAATTGGCTGCAATTCGACTTTGGACACGTATCAAAATAAACATAACTATCGTTTTCTACTCTTAATTATTTAACAAAATTAATTGTCTGAGATGATTATGAGAGAGCCAAAAAAATAGTAGAATGATATAATCTGTAAGCAGAGAGAAAATCAGTACTATATACAACTATACAAATATTTTGTTATGACATAATTGCTTGTGTAAGAAATTTATACAAATCCAAAACAAAAGGAAAAAAAATCAACTTTCAGATAAAAAATATCCCAAAAGTTACACAAATCAGATAGCAAGTTCATATTGCCAGTAATCAATTAGTATATTTAAGTTTTTATTTTTTTTTTATTTTTTTCTTTTATTCCTGAATCCAATTTCACGTGCCATCTGTTTACGACAATTGAGATTTTGAAAGACTGACTTGATTTTCCTTGATAAATATTTGATGTTCTTTGTGAGTATCAGTGTGTAAGATGCATTTCCATTGCTGCATGTTTGATGCAGCTTACACATATGTAAATGGTATTAGTATTAGATAGATTCATAAGTCAGTATCTTGAATAATTCTACAAGAATAATTCAAATTTGCAAAAAAATATGATTTTGGCATCAAATTGATTTACCAAGTAATTGACTCGTAGACTTAATAAAATGCGTGTAACTGAGCGTGATTATTGTCTTCTAATTTTAGGTTGGACTAGGATGACGACACAGGAAGTAATTTTTGTCTTCCCTCCATGAATATTGATGAGTCACATAATTAATACAGGCTTGATTACAATATGTGTTATTAGTCCAATCTACCTCGGATTGTCTTCTCAAAGAAAGTTGTTGTCTTCTGAAGGAAAATTATTTGAAATTTCGTTTACTACAAAAATGGGAAAATAAAAGTCCTAAACATCCTAAGCAAGATTGATTTAAAACTCGATTAACGTTAACCTAAGATATTAAAGGCAACTACCAAAACTTGAAGTACCAAAAATTGAAACAAAGATTGCGAGGAACTAAAAATTGATAATAAAAAAATGCTATAAAACTATATAATTTTTATATAGGAACTTTGTCTTTCAATTTACTAGTGTTTAAATATATATGAAATTTATGGACAAGTAAATGTGGGTAGATATAGTGTTGTTTAAATATATATGAAATTTATGGACAAGTAAATGTGGGTAGATATAGTGTTGGTAAGCACTATAAGCTAATTTTATAGCTTATTTAGTTAGTTTTATATGAGTATTTGTCTAGTTTTGCCTATGTGGCATGTAAATAAATCTTAATCTTGGATGACATGGATAAAATTATGTAAAATTAACAAAATCCACTCAAATGTAAAGAGACTAAGTTTCTACTTGGGTCTAAAATAGACTTAATGGTAGACCGGGTCTCTTTTTTTGGCTGTCAGGACAGAGTCTACTTTTATTTACATTGGATAATATATTTTTTAGACTAGATTTATTTCTTAGGTGATATATAACTTTTTTGGATTGAACTCAAAGCATTGTGAATGCTCTAAGTGTCTTCTTTTCAAATAAGTTTGGTTTGATAGGACAAACTTTATTAAAAGTTTGAATTTATCTCATAAACTTCCTTATGTAGCTTTTTTTCTAATTTTGACAAACATTTTTATCATATCAACTTGTTTTTCAACCATAAGCCATGAGTTTATCTCATAAGCTTCCTTACCTAGTTTTTTAAAAAAGTTTTGATTTTATTTAAGTTGACTTATCAATCATAAACCATAAGCCATCAACTATCAACTATCTATCTATCTATACTATTATAAAAGGACGAGTAATTTTGTAAAAATAATGATCTGCCTAAAATACCCTTACTTTGACATATTTTTAATGGCAAATTAGTAATATAGTAATATCCATCTTATTTTATATTTTTAATTAACAAATGAACTACCTAAAAAACCCTTACTTTGAATGTCAAATTAATACTACACCAATAATCATCTTATATTTTTAATTAATAACTCATATTTAATTAATTAAATATAGATACATGAACAAAATATTCTAACTCTCTTAAAAATCAACCTCAACGTTCTCATACCATTATTCATCACCAATTTGATTCTTTCACATATCTGTCAAACTGTTTTCTTTCATATCTCCCAAAAATCAACCCAACAAGGCTATGAGAGAATATATAGTTGATGTTTTCAAAACGTCTTTATTTTAATATAATTTTAATGTAAAACCGTAATCATATATTTTTAATTAACAATTGAACTACCTAAAAAACACTTACTTTGACTTATTTTTAATGGCAAATTAGTCTCCTAAAAATCGGCCTCAATATTCTCATACCATCATTCCTCACGAATTTGCTTCTTTCACATATTTGTCAAACTGTTTTTTTAATATCTCCAAAATATCAAGCCAGACAACAAAAATTTGAAAAGATATATAATTGATGTTTTGGAAAAAATTCTTATTTTTAATATTATTTTAATGTAAAATCGTAATTACCTTAATTAATAACAAAAACTATCCCACGAATTTGCTTCTTTCACATATTTGTCAAACTGTTTTTTTCATATTTCCAAAAACTCAACCCAGACAACAAAAATTTTGAAAAGATATATAATTGATGTTTTGAAAAACATCCTTATTTTTAATATAATTTTAATGTAAAATCGTAATTACTTTAATTAATAACAAAAACTACTACATGAAAGTTTTAATGTTTAAGAAAGAATACACAAAAAAATGCTATATTGCAATAATAAATACAACGGTAAGACATTCCACTTAAAATCGCAACAAATAATATTCATTGGTATAGCGAATATATATATACATATTCTAACAAACTAGAAAAGTGGATCAATTCATTTAGCCACTTCGTTATTTAAGAAAAATAAAATC